CCTTAGTTGCTCACGTATAGAGTCAAGGTTATGGGTTGAACCATGACACTGGATCGACTGCAGTGACGCAAACAGCTCAAGGTCTAACGCGTTTAAATCGGGAGAATTCGTGGGCTGGAAGATGAGCCGAATTGACCAGCCTCCTTCCAGCCCAGCGGCCAAAATGTCGGGGTCGAATGGCGAAATATGGGGCTTGGCATTGTCTTCTTGAACGAAAATGGGGTCGCTTCACTGCTGTCTAGGCCACTCCGCTTTAGTAGCAGGAAATAAGTAGCATAGCAGAAACCTCTTGTAGACTTCACGATCAATGCTCTCTATGTTGCGAGTGCATAGCGTACCTCTCGGTCGGTATTTACTAGATCGCTGCAACATACTCCTCCGTCAACGCCCAGATACCGATCTTGCCACTCCATCTACACTTCCGGTGGAAGTCATATCTAAGCAAAAAATATGGTAGGAAAATTAGAATTAATAAAATATTATTTGTCACAGGACATTACCTCGGTCGTGCTACTGCAGCGAGAAACATGGTCTTCGGGATGAAGTTCTTGCTCTTGCGGTCTCTCTGTGGTGGCAGCTCACCTTCAAGAAGCATGTACGTGCGTGTGTTCGTGTCTTGATTAAACCACTTCTCGTCGATGTGTATCACGTTCTCCATAGGCTCGAAATTGTGTATTGCATCATCTATATAGCTCAGCACATGCTCCACTCTCATGTGCTTGTTTTCGGTTGTTAGAGCCGGCTTAATACGCGTGGAGCGATGTAAGCGGCCCTCCTTTAGCATAGCAGACACCAGGTAGCGCGAAAGCCCAGCTGCGACTGCTGTGCGTCGCACGACAAGACGCTGTTCAGCAGGAACCTGGGAGAGCTTCTGAGCCACTTCGTCGCGGTCTATCTGCTTTTTACCTGAGTTTTGTTTTTATCCTGCTGCGCCATTCGCCTCCACTGATACCGTTAGTACTTGTAGATTGGTACTGGGTCCACAGCCTGCTCACAGAGGACTGATCACAGCTAAATTTCCGGGCAACCTCTGTCATTGCCCCGTGCACCAATTTACCACCTTTCAGACGCGTTAGAAGCTCATCAATTATTGTACGGCGCTCCATATCAGTGAGGTTTCGCATAGTAGCACCAGAGCTGATGACGAAAGGTTACTTTGGCCTGGGCGGGTGCTTTAAAAATGAATGGCAGAGGAGGTCGGCTTCTCGAGGCCATTGCTTTTCACCTACTGCTTCGATTGCTCAAACCTTAATGTTGCCCAATAGCTGAAACGCTAACGGTTCGATTAAGCCAATCCGCGCCTGATTTGAGATAGTATTGACAGAGTTATGTTCTCCAATCGTGCGATCATTCTCAGCCAGAGGAAGTAAGCTGCTAGTAGCGATCGGTCAATTAAATTTACTTTTATAATGACTACTACTCCGTTTCATATTGCTTGTCCCCTTTTGCGAGGCTGGCTCGGGATTTGTCAATATTACACGAAAATGCCTCGAATTGGCCTTAAATGCAAGCTGGAGTCGGTGCGATTTCAATGGTGTGCAGAACTTCAGCTACCAACCAATATTCGATCCGTGGTGGCAACTCGAGTACATTTCGAACCAAAATAGTGGCAAACAGGCACAGACGTCGCCCATCCTAGCTCATATCTGGATTATTCCGACGCTAACCACTGACCGCCATTGAGACTAACCAGCGCACAAGACGAGTACTGACACCACGAGAGCGCCAGCAGGCCGTTTCCGAGATACTGCCCCGCTCGGATAATGGCAAACCTCGACGCGGGGCAATAAAGGAGGTTGGCCTCCGCCACGTAGAGCTGCAGTGCGCAATGGAGTCGTGCATAC